CCTAGACGGTCGGACCATTCGGCCCGGAAACCATCTAGGCAACCGGTTCCGTTTTACCCCAAACCCGATCCCTGGCAAAAAACCGTTGAATCAGTCAACGACCCGTTGACATAGGCGGTTGAATCGTCGACCAGTTCAACGGTTTTCGGCGGTTTTTTTTTTGTTTTTTAATTATTTTTTTATTTATTTAATTTTTTTTGTGAGAATGGGTTGTTTGTTTGAACCAAACGGTCGATTGTTGACCCAAAAATCAGTGGCCATAACAATTCCATTTTTGGGTCATTTTTTAAAGCCATGGTTTCAATTGCATAAAAGACAAAGAAGAGGAGAGAGAGCCATATATGTTCGATTGTGGAGAAGACGAATAAGAGGAGAGAGAAAGATAGAGCCTAGAAGAGTTGGTTTGGTTTTGTTTGATTGCAAAGAAGACGAAGAAGAAAGAGAAATCCCTATTCAGTTTGCTCGATTGCAAAGAAGGCGAAGAAGAGAGAAATCCCTATTCGGTTTGTTCCATTGTAAGCTCCCCACCTCCCCTCACCGTTGTATCTCTAGTTCAGTCGGTGATGAGATACTCGGGTTTGAACATAGTAGCAGGTGATGAGGTATTACAACACAACAATCGTCGCCGCTTGTGTCCGAAAAAGGAGAACCACAAACAAAATCACATCACCCCCAAAAGTTGCCCGATCCCTCTCGCTTTAACCCTACAAAACTTGTAATTGACTGGCGTCTTCAACAATGGGAAGGAAGCAGGAAGAGAGAGAAACGTTGCCACTCCACGGTCAAGGTCTTGGATTTGAGACGTTGTCGTTGCTAGGAGTTGTAGTGGCGGTCAACATCTTCAACGTTGAGCCCCTTGTCTTGATGGTCTTGCTATTGGATTCAAGCATAAGAAAGAAGTAAAAACTTTAGGATAGGCGATAGAGGTTCGCTTTACGATAGGGCTTTGATTGCAAAGAAGACAAAGAAAGAGGGTTCGCTTTGGGACAGGGGACATGGGTTCGATCATTGTTTTTGAATCGTCGTTGGCCTAGACGGTCGGACCATTCGGCCCGGAAACCATCTAGGCAACCGGTTCCGTTTTACCCCAAACCCGGTCCTTGGCAAAAAACCATTGAATCAGTCAACGACCCGTTGACATAGGCGGTTGAATCGTCAACCAGTTCAACGGTTTTCGGCGGTTTTTTTGTTTTTAAATTATTTTTTTATTTTTTAATTTTTTTTTGTCAGAATGGGTTGTTTATTTGAACCAGACGGCCGAATTGTTGACCCAAAAATCAGTGGCCATAACGATTCCATTTTTGGGTCATTTTTTAAAGCCATGGGTTCAATTGCATAAAAGACAAAGAAGAGGAGAGAGAGCCATATATGTTTGATTTGTTCGATTGTGGAGAAGACGAATAAGAGGAGAGAGAAAGATAGAGCCTAGAAGAGTTGGTTTGGTTTTGTTTGATTGCAAAGAAGGCGAAGAAGAAAGAGAAATCCCTATTCAGTTTGTTCGATTGCAAAGAAGGCGAAGAAGAGAAAAATCCCTATTCGGTTTGTTCGATTGTAAGCTCCCCACCTCCCCTCACCGCTGTATCTCTGGTTCAGTCGATGATAAGATACTAGGGTTTAAACATAGTAGCAGGTGATGAGGTATTACAGCACAATAGTCGTCGCCGCTAAATCCTCCCTCTCCCACCTCGCCTCAACTACCTCATCTCAGGTTTAGTGTTGGTGATGAGGTTCGAAACGGGCTTGCTCCGAGAAACCTCTACAATACTACGGTCATCAAGGAGAAAGGTTGTGCGGATTCCAAGGGTTTAAGGATTTTCAACTATAAAAGGGTATATTAGGGATTTTCAAAATAATATAACGATCATGTGATGTCATATGTGTACTATTTAGACGAAATGTTAACGATAAGGGAAGCTTTGAGTAATTGTATAGGGTAATATTAGTCAATTTTCAAACATTATCGATACACCGTACGTTTAGTGAATTAACTAAAAGTAATTTAAGAAATTTATCCAAAAATTAAAAGAGTTTAATTAATTGACAAAATCGGTGATTTTTCAAAAAAAATGTTCAAACTTCAAAGTTCAAACCAGTGAGCGCAAGAAACAAATATTCTTTTTGGACAAAATTGCCCCTTTCATCTTCGTTTCTTTTTGTGCATTGAAAAATTGGCGCCAGTTATCCATCATCGAAGATTTCTGGATCATACTCATCACCATCACTGGCAACTAAAGCTTAAAATCACCCTCCGATGATTTTCATCTTTTTATTTTCTGTGTCATTCATGGATGCCTCATGGTTTTGATATAAAAATTCATAATTTGCATCCTTGTCCCTTTGTCAGAATTTTAATGTTCTCCATTGCTTTATCTCTCTAGATTTCTTCACTATTTCTCATATTTTCCCTTGAAAGCTTGAATTTGAGGGCCTTTTGAAGGAGCTTGAGAGACATGGAATCTGTTCTATGG